TGCATAATCTTATAAACCTCAATCATGTCACCCCTCAGTCGTCGTTTCTCCAAGCTAAAGAGCCCTAAGCGCTTTAACCTTTTCTCATAGGGAAAGTGTTCCAACCCTTTTCAATCGAGTTGCCCTTTTCTGCACTTTTTCCAAAGCTATAATATCCTTTTTAAGGTGTGGTGACCAGAACTGCACACAGTATTCCAAATGAGGTCGCACCATTGATTTATATAGGGGCATCATGATATTGGCTGATCTGTTTTCAATACCCTTCCTAATAATCCCCAGCATAGCGTTGGCCTTTTTTATTGCAGTCGCACACTGTCTCGACATTTTCAGTGAGTTATCTACTACAACTCCAAGATCTCGCTCTTGATCAGTCTCTGCACACCATCAACGTGTATTTATATTTAGGATTTTTGGCTCCTGTGTGCATCACCTTGCACTTTTGCTTTAATGGTGGGGAGTTCCTTGTGGAGTTTCTGAGACCAAACCCAGGTACAGCTTCATTGCGTTACCACACGAGGGACTGTCCTGACAATCTGCTATAAACCCTAGTTGCCTGGAAGATGGAAAGGAGCACCTGACATGCTTGACCAACCTGTTGACCAGGATGGTGTCATGGTTAGAGCGTTGGCCTAAGATCTGGGGGAGCCAAGTTCGAATCCTTACTCAGCCCTGGAGGCTTGCCTGGTGACTTTGGCCCGGGCAAACACTCTCAGCCTAGCCTACCTCACAGGGCTTTTGTGAGGGGGAAATGGAGGAGAAGAGAACCTTGTAAGGTGCTTTGGGTCCCTACTGGAAAGGAAGGCAATCTACAAATGAAATAAATAAGATATCTGGGTGGGTAAGGCTAGAGATGTAAAATTTCCGTTAAAATAAAATGTTCCATAATCAATTTCTTTTCTTTTTTCAATTTTTCCAATTTTTCGGAAAAAACCCAAAAAGGCTTCAGGAAAAAAATTGAAAATACCCCGGTTTCCCTCAAAATTTTTCTTTTTTTTTTCTGGGCCTTCACATCTCTAGGTAAGGCACATAGCACCCGGACCTGGATGGCCCAGGCTAGTCAGCTCTTGTCAGCTAAGTAGGGTCAGATTTGGTTAGTGCTTGAATAGGAAACCACCAAGGAAGGCCAGGGTTGCTACGCAGAGGCAGGCAATGGCAAACCACCTCTGTCCATCTCTTGATTTAAAAACCCTGCAGGGATGCCGTATGAAGCTAGGCAGGGTCAGGCCTGGTTAGTAGATGGATGGGAGACCACCAAGGGAGTCCAGGGTTGCTATGCAGAGGCAGGCCATGGGAAACCGCCTCTGTCTGTCTCTTGTCTTGAACACCCGATTGGCATAAGTCAGCTACAACTCGACGGCACTTTTCACCACCACCAAAGCACACAGCAGAACGTCTTCAGCTAAGCGTAATGGGTGGGCTTGGGGTAGAAAAGACAGAATCCTTCAGGTACCCTTTGTGCCAAGCCATTTACGGTTTAGGCAGTGCAGTGTAAGCAGAGTTAACCTTTCACATCACCAGCTCCCTGAGCCTTGCTAATTGGAGATGCCGGGGATTGAACCTGGGACCTTCTACACGCCAGGCAGAAGCTCTGCCACTGAGCCACAGCCCCTTCTGTGGACTTGAACCAATTTAGAAGATTGGAACTCTGTTGAGGCTTGAACGGCCAGCAATGTGGACTCCACTTCCCCAAGCCCTGGTGCCTTTTCTATCGCCGTCTCATTCACTCGGGTGCTGAATTGACTCGTGTTGCTGTGGCAGTTTTAATTGGGGCTCACTGTATTGGCTTTTAGTTGATTTTTGTGAATGGCAAGTAGGGGAGATAAACAATTCAGGAATCCCCCCCCCCTCTAATCCCCAGGATTATATAAGGGCTGTAAGCAGGCCCCTGAGCCAGGGTTCCCTAAAATATTTAAGCCTATGGGTGCCTTTGGAATTCTGACAGTGGGTGGTGGCCGCGACCTCAAAATGGCTGCCCCAAAAGGTGGAGCCAGCTACAAAATGGCTGCCATAAGAGATGAAGCTGGTTCTGACCTTTAAGGCCCTTAGCGGTCAGGGACCCACATACCTTCAGGACGGCCTCTCTCTCTATGCCCCCAGTAGAGCGTTATGCTCAGGTAGCAAAAATCTCCTGGTGGTGCCCGACCCGAGAGAGATCTGGCGGTCCTAAACCAGAGCCAGGGCTTTTTCAGCCCCCCCCCCCCCCCAGTGGAACTCTTTGCTGGAGAATATGCGAGCCCTGAGAGATTTACTACCTTTCCGCAGGGCTTGTAGGGCAGAGATGTTCCACCAGGTATTTGGGTGAGGACAGCGATGGGCCAGCAAGTAGTCTGGGTGCTCTCAGGTCTCCGGCATCCCCTCCCCCCAAGAAGAAGAAGAAGAAGAGATTGGATTTATACCCTACCCTTCACAACCCAAAGGTGTCTCAGAGCGGCTTACAATTTTCTTTCCCTTCCCCTCCCCACAACAGACACCCTGTGAGGTAGGTGGGGCTGAGAGAGCTCTTGACAGACACTGCTCTTTTTTCAAGGACAGCTCTTATCAGAACTATGGCTTGCCCAAGGCCATCCAGCCAGGTGCAAGTGGAGGAGTGGGGAATCAAACCCGGTTCTCCCAGATTAGAGTCCGTGCACTTAACCACTACACCAAACTGGCTATGGGAAGTTGCAATTTTTCTGTTGAAATTCCTCGCCCCCTTGGAAAAGCTTGTTTTACTTATTGACCCTGCATTATGTTTTATTATTGGTTTTAACTTAATCCAGATTATTTATTGTCCTATTCTGTTGTAAACAGCCCTGAGCCCAAGTAATAAATGAATAAATAAATAAATAAAGCCAACCACAAAATTTTAGGAAGTGAGGTCATGTATAACTCTAGCAGTAACTTTAAAACATTTCAGGCAAAAGCTCTGATTTAACAGGATGCCTTTTAAAACGATCGTATTATTATTATTTTTTTAAGTTCTGCATATACACAGTTTATGTCCAGTCATAAAGCGAAAATTCTGGTGCTATGGTGGCAGTGGCTGACAGAGCGACTTTTTAAAAATCCGCTCAACCAGTCAGATGGCTGATCAGAAGCCCCACCTGGCCTTCCCTACTTCCTAAAAACATTTGGTGGGTGCCGGGGAAAATGTCTTTTGCAGGTGCCAGGGGCCCATCGGCACCATGTTGGGGAACCCTGCCCTAAGCAATTCCGAATCTGGAAGCTAGATGGCGTCTATCTAGAGCGGGCTGTTTCCCTCTGTTTTTTGCCCTTCACTTGATTATGCGCTGCCCGCAACATTATACACCTCCTGGAGCATATGGGTCTTGATCGTTGGGGTGTGTGCAGGGAACCTTCCTTCTTTCCTTTAATTTACAAGGTCATACTTTCCCACATACCTGGGGAGTCTCCCGAGTACGCAGAAGCCTTTGCTTCGTCTGGAGAGATGCTGCGGTTTTGCTATTTTTGTAACTGGCCTGCACCACTCATAGAATCATAGAGTTGGAAGGGACCTCTCCAGGGTCATCTAGTCCGACGCCCTGCACAATGCGTGTGACTATTGAATACAATAACCATGTTACTAGTTCTTATTGGTTGGCTGCCTTGAAAGTCCCTTGAACTGAAGAGTCGGGGTATAGACTTTTTACAATAACGACTGAAGCAGAAATCGTGGTCTTCCCGGGGCTCCCTTTGGCCCTCTCGTCCATCTCTTCAATGGCGTTCATGTCCGTACCTGCTGAGCATCATTCCCTACTCTTGGTCCGGGCTCTGGGTCTTCTGCAGGTGTTTTCTTTTGTGGGAGAATACAATAAAGGGCACAGCAGAGTAAGAATAATGAACCAGAAATTGCTGCAAAAAGTTCAAACTATTACAGAATAATGAAAATAATGTTGTCCGTTGCAAAGGAACTAGTGTTTAGTATAGGAGCTATCTATAGCCATTTGGAACTTGAAATTCCTGTTATTCCTGCTATTGGATGTTGTGAATAATTACTCCAACACAGTGGTATTTTTGATAAAGACCCCGAAACGAACTTCGAAAACTCGAGCTGTTCGTCTTCTACCTATGAAATAAAGAAGAAATTTTGGGATTACTACATCAGCAAAATGTCCATTCATTATTTTCATTAGTTGCAAAGGAACTAGTGTTTAGTATAGGAGCTATCTATAGCCATTTGGAACTTGAAATTCCTGTTATTCCTGCTATTGGATGTTGTGAATAATTACTCCAACACAGTGGTATTTTTGATAAAGACCCCGAAACGAACTTTGAAAACTCGCTGTTTGTCTTCTACCTATGAAATAAAGAAGAAATTTTGGGATTACTACATCAGCAAAATGTCCATTCATTATTTTCATTATTCTGTAATAGTTTGAACTTTTTGCAGCAATTTCTGGTTCATTATTCTTTTGTGGGAGAGACATCTGTGGAGGAAATTTGTCCAGTAGGCTACATAATGGAAGATCCTTTGTGGGGAAGGGACCCTGGCTCAGGGCAGAGCTTCTGCTTGGCGGGCGGAAGGTCCCAGGTTCAGTCCCAGGCCTCTCCAGTCAGCAATGATCAGGGAGTCGTTGATGTGAAGGATCTCAGGGCCTGGCACCCTGAAGAGCCATTGACAGAGTAGACAAGACGGACCTGAACAGACGAATGTGTAAGTTCAGGAGAAGGTAGCTTTGCATGATCACCTGTGTCACTCATCTTGCGTCTCCTGGCCTTTCCAATTTTCTCCAGGAGGGCCTAAAGTGCAGGTGTTTACCCGCTATCCTCCGGAGATTGGCAAGGAGAACACCTTTCAGTGCTACGTGGATGGGTTCCATCCTCCCAAAATCAGCATCGAGCTCCTGAAGAACGGCAAGCCAATGGAGAGCCAGAAGAGCGACCTTTCTTTTCACCAGGACTGGGCCTTCCATCAGCTCGTCTACGCCAACATCACTCTCGATGGGAAGACCGAGTACGCCTGCAAGGTGGAGCACGAAGCCTTGCGTGAACCCCAAACGCACAAACTCGGTGAGCACTCTTCCAGCTTCGATCCCACGTGTGTCCCCCTTTCCTTTTGTCTCAGCTCCTTGAAAGGTAGCCCGACAAAAGAGGTCTCCTGGCTGGTGGGAGCACACACACACACACCCTGGCAAAACACCGATACACAACTCCAGGGCTCTTTTTGTAGAAAAAGCCCAGCCGGAACTCATTAGCATAATTGGCCACACCCAACAGCAGAAACGTATTATCTTATTAGGCCATACCCCTGACAGCACAGCTCATTAGCACATTAGGCCGCACCCCCGTGTTACCAGAAGTGTGGTCATCCAGCCACACCCACCTTTTGCTTCTTATTCTGTTTACCTTGTTTGTTGTCAAAACCCAGGGTCTTTTTTTGTAGCAGGAACTCCTTTGCATGTTAGGCCACACACCCCCATGTAGCCAATCCTAATGAATTTCTGCTGTTGGGTGTGGCCTATTATGCTAATGAGTTCCTGCTGGGCGTGGCCAACTCAGAAGCCAGCCGGAACTCCATTCCTGTGCGTTCCGGCCCAAAAATAGCCCTGCACAACCCACAACAAAAAGCATGCCAGCTGTTGGACTTCAAATGAACCTTGTTGTCCCTCATGTTGACAGCCACCAAACACACACCCATTCACCGTAGCTGTGAATAATGGTGAACGGAACACAGTCCGTGGCTGCGTGGTTATCAGTGCATCTTGCCGGAGGAAAACAGAGAAGCAACCACTGTTAACCACTTCCTCTGGTTCCAGAAGACACAGGCTCAGTCTGCATCTAGCATGTGCTCCGCTGTTTTACCAAACCCACACCAGAACAGAAAAAGATGCAGCTCAAATACCCTGGGCCAACGCAGTCACCCCAAATGGCCATAAAACGGCCATAAATCTATGCAGACGGCTACCATAAAACCGAGAGATCAAACGAGGTGAAAGTGCGTGTAGTCTGGACACGGCCATAAAATCCGACAAAATGAAAGTGGCCTGCAATGTAGAGGGGAATTTCAGTCCCAGCCTGGGTTTGGTAAAACACTGGAGCAAATGCTAGATGCAGATTGGGCCATGCATTGATCGGAGAGTTTGCCAGGGAAAGATTTGGGGGATTTTCCAGCATGTGATGGGTTTCCACCAACGTTCCCTCTAAGCTATGGAGCCCTGTGAGCAAAAATTCTACTTTGTGAGCTACTGGCATTAAAGTTGTGAGCAGGAGATTTGGCTGCTGCATAAATTAGTTGGCTCTGGAGCCATGATCTGTCCTGAGCTGAGACAAAAATGAGTGAGGCAGAGGCTTAAAAAACTGTGAGCTAGCTCACACTAACTCAGCCTAGAGGGAACACTGGTTTCCACAGTAAAAATAAATAAATAAATGACCATGTAACAATTTAATCATGGGAATAAATCACTGTTTATAGATTTTTGCTATTGACCCTCCTTCCTGCCCTATGTTTTCTATTGATGTTCCTCACTTTTTCCATAGATATACCCACGCTCTTTTTGTAGCAGTAACTCTTTTGCATATTAGGATTACAGAGCTCTTCTTACAGGGGCTACTGTAAGGTCTTGGAGGACTGGCTGCATTTGGGGTGTGTCGCCTAATAGGCAAAGGAGTTCCTGCTGCAAAAAGAGCCCACACATATATTTTAGTTGTGTTTCTAACGTACGATGTGTTTTTATATTGCTCTGGGTTTTTTTGTATTTTTCATACGTGCGTGCACATGGAAGTCACGTAGACCTCTGGTGATTGACCCGTACTGGGGGCCTGGGGGATTTTCAGAGAGGTGGCTGAATAAAGCATGCCCTCACCTCCTGCCTCTGGTATTTCAAGGAGGTCTCCCATCCAAGTACTTGCCAGAGTCGACCCTGCTTAGCTTCCATTATTTAGTCGTTAGCCCCTTTTGTTAGTTCCTCTGTTGCAGCCATAAGCAAAGCCGCACCGTTCCCAGCTCATTGACTTCCTTGGATATCCAAAGGTGTAACTCTGCTGAGGACAACTAGATACGAGTCTAGCAGCACCTTTAGAGACCAATGAGATTATTGGGCTATGAGCTTTTGAGAGTCATACCCTGAATGTCTTGTTGGTTTCTAAGATGCTTCTGGACTTGTATCTGGCTATTCTTCTGCAGACCAGCCCGGCTACCCTCTGAAACCATCTGCTGGGGACCTCACTGTAAGGGTTCCATGGGACACACTTCTGTTTCAGTATATGCATTCTGTACAGCTAGATACGGCTCCAATCAGGGTTTCTTGGAACAAGTCAATAATTACTCGGTGGAGCACCACACACTTGTCCATCCTTTACATGCAATCTTGTTAGGATATTTCTTTTTCACTTGGCTCTTGCCAGTTCTGTTTGATTCCGCTGTTGCTGGAGTCAGCACCTCTCAGTCACCCATTCTTTATCGAGTCAAAATAGACCCATCCCCCTGCTTTATGTGACTGGCACAGATGTGGGAGTGGAGGCCAGGGGAGGGCCAGGCTCCTGGGCCAAAGGCGGCGGCAGCTGCCGCAGGGCAGGGCACCGCTTGGAATGGCAGAAGCAGCCCAGTGGCTCCAGCAAGAGTGGGGAGCGCCACCTGAAAGAGAGCCCCCCCACACACAGATCAACTGCTGAGCACAAGAGTTTTTCCAGCTGGGGAAGTGGCTGGCAGCAAAAGTCTCTGGCTAGTGGAAGGCAAACTGTGGCCAGGGTGGGGCAAGGCAGTGAAGGGGTTAAGAGATGGACAGGGCCTGGAGAAGGGAGGAGCTGAACAGGGCTCGGAGAAGGGAGCGGCAGAGCTGGGCTTGCCCACTGTGGGCGGAGCCTCCCCAGGGATATAAAAGGGAAACGTCAGGGGAGATGGAGAGGGAGAGGAAGTCAAGCTGACTGGGGAAAGGCCAAGAAGGGACAGAGGAGGGAGGGAGGGGGACCTAGAGGAGGAGTTGTGGCCTTGGGCAAGATAAGAGAACCAGGCCTGGGGGAGCCCACCCAAAGCAGAGGCACAACTCAGCCCCCTAAGGTTTTAAAGGGGGATGAAAGGAGCCACGATTATGTGGAGACCTGTTTGGACTGGCAATAAAGGGAAACTTAATGAGAACGGTTGAGTCTGGGCGAGTCTCAGCCAATGTTCCCTCTAAGCTGTGGAGTCTTGTGAGCAAAAAATCTACTTTGTGAGCTCCTGGCATTAAAGTTGTGAGCAAGAGATTTGGCTATAACATAAACTAGTTTGCTCTGGAGCCATACTTCCTGAGCTAGGACAAAAATGTGTGAGCCTGAGGTTAAAAAACTGTGAGCTAGCTCACACTAACTCAGCTTAGAGGGAACACTGGTCTCAGCCTACCATGGAAGACGCTGAGGACCTCCCTCTGCCCCCTAGAAGGGTCCATAGTATATAAATGGAACAGATGTGGAAATAAACACATGCGGATGCTGCAGTCATGCATAGCTCAGCCCTTTTAAAAAGAACTGTAGCTTTTCTTGTAACCTGTGTCTTCTGGTTATATGAGTGTTGTATCTAAATATATTCTGTGAAAGTGGGTGACAAAAAGGGGCAGCCAGGAAATGAAATGGTTGCTTCCCATTATTCCCGGAAGGCCAGTGACGGCCCTTCTGAGCTGGCACCCTCCTTTGCAAATTGGCCATAGTTGCGTAGAATTGGATAGGGCTGTACTATTATTCTGACAGGGCTCTTTTTGTAGAAAAAGGCCAGCAGGAACTCATTAGCATAATAGACCACACCCAAGAGCACAAACTCATTAGCATATTAGGCCACACCCATGATTTGCACAGCTCATTAGCATATTAGGCCACACCCCCATGTTACCAGAAGTGTGGTCATCCAGCCACACCCAACTTTTGGTTCTTCTTCTGTTTACTTTGTTTATTGTCAAAACACAGGGCTTTTTTGTAGCAGGAACTCCTTTGCATGTTAGGCCACACACCCCTAATGTAGCCAATCCTAATAAATTTCTGCTGTTGGGTGTGGCCTATTATGCTAATTAGTTCCTGCTGGACGTGGCCAGCTCGGGAGCCAGCCGGAACTCCGTTCCTGTGCGTTCCTGCCCCAAAATAGCCCTGATTCTGAAACAGAGGAAAGATGGTCCTTGAATAGATATTGACTCTCTTCTCTTCTACAGAGTTGGAGTTCTGAGCAGCTGTCCTGAGGAAAAGAAGGTAAAGTATAGATATTTCACAACAGTTTTAGCTCATATGAATTGTATGCTGGCCAAAAAAGAGAAAGAAAAAAAAAAAAAAAGACGAGCGGGGGGGGGGGGGGGGGGGCTCACAGCAAGTTCTGGCTTCTTTCCATGTGACCCACAACTTTGCAGTTTGCTCAGTAGATGTACATGCCTGTGAATTGGTTTAGAACAAGAAGGAGAATCACAGTCCAAGTAACTACAAGTGCAAAAAAGACTGAAGAATAAACGCTAATAAAGTTAAATAATTATAATCACGTGGATTGTAAATTCTTACGTGACAGTGTAATACTGAATCATACAGCCGAGTTAATGATACATATCAGTATACAAAATACATCATTTGAAGATTTCAAGACAGTCCAAAAAGGCCCAACAATTTTACATGAAGCATGTGAGAACAAGGTTCAAGGTTGCTGAGAAAAGGCATTCAAAGTGGGCTACCGAACATTTTTTCGGAGAGAACTAATCTAAATTGTCTGCCTGATTGTGCCCTGCTAAACTCACACGCGATATTTATGTTGAAGAAGATGTTGAAGACCCATTGGATGTCTCACATTCTTCAAGTAAAACTGTTGGGCCTTTTTTTGGACTGTCTTGAAATCTTGGAATGATGTCGTTTGTATAATGTGAATTGGTTTAGTCATCTGCTATAAACCTGTGGGATGCGGATGGGCTATCAGTGATTGTTGAAATATATAAAACTTATCTTTTCCTTCTCTCCAGATTGGAAGTCTTTTGCCACTTGAGATGCGTTCCAGCCATGCTATCCTGAACCACTTTTTGTGTGCTGTCCCTACTTTGAAATTACTGCTTTGGGGGGAAAAAATATTGCACCCTATTTTGCAATTTGAACTTTAACAGTAATCCCGCCTTGTGTTGCTTTTGTTTAACTTCCTTTATTAAAATCTTCCGGATGTTTGTTTGGATTTTACTGGTGAAGGGAAATATTGTTGTAAAAAGGTGTATGTTTGAACGCAACCACTTTCTTACCTGGCATGTGTACTGCTGTAGTGATTCGCCCTGAGCCCACTTGGGAGGGCAGAATAAAAACTGAAATAAATAAATAAATGTAAGAAATGTAACTTTAAAGATTATGGCACTCTTTCAATAAAGAAACCTACTGATCTTTAATATTTTATTTGTGACTGTCTATTAATTTGGATGGGTTGTTTGGCAGATTAGTCAATGAAATAATCTGATGACACCCTTAGGCCTACCTACAATGCATCTTCACACTCACAATTTCAGTCATAAGCAGGCCTGTAGCTACAGTGGGCCGTTTTTGGGGTGTGGCCCCCCGACTTTCTGCCAAGGCCCCCCCCGACTTCCGTCCAGCCCCTGCCCCTCAGCTCTCTGGGCCACCTGGAGGACTCCCCACTGCTGCCTCTTCCCCAAACACAGCTTGCTTCCCCAGGCAGAGTGTGAATGCTGCAAAAGTGGGTTTTTTAGAAAATAACTTTATTTTTATAACATTTTTCTGATAACCATACAATAAACAGCAATTAATACAATACAAAATCAACATATTTAGTAGGTAGCGCAGTCATACCACCTTTTACATTATTTATATAATCAAAGAACACAAATGATTTTTCCAAAAATCTTTATTTCCTATCTGGATATTCTGCTTCTAGCAGTTGTGTTGCTATTTTGTCCGTAACCACAATGTCCCATAGCTTCGTAAACAATTGTTTTACAGTTGGAATGTTATCTAATTTCCAAACCCGAGCTATTAATGCTTTAGCTGCAATTGGCATTAAAGAAATCAATTCTTCTGTTGTTTGGGAAAAGGTACGTAACTCCTTTGAAATTGTTTCATTCTAAGCTAAAGAAGGATCCCAAGTGTTGGAAGGGCTGTAATCAGACGGGATCTTTTTACCATTGTTGGTGGTCCCATCCAAAAATTCAAAAATTTTGAGATTTAGTTATTACAAAAATAGAATCCATTTTGGGAATAAATCTGCCAAACACTTCTGAATCCATATTACTGAATCATTGGGACAAAGAGTTTTTTAAATTTTATTTTTTATTTTGTGACATCAGTGCCCCCTGACTTATTTAAAGCCACCCACCCCACCGAGTTACAAAAGCCTGGCTACGGGCCTGGTCATAAGGTGCTAATTCAGTTCATGTAGGCAGCAGTCCTAAAAACACTTTCCTGGGAGTAAAAAAAGGTAAAGGTTCCCTTGCTCGAAAGCCAGTCGAATCCGACTCTAGGGTTGCGGTGCTCATCTCCATTTCCAAGCAGAAGAGCCAGCGCTGTACGAAGACGTTTCTGTGGTCATGTGGCCGGCATGACTAAACACCAAGGCGCACGGAACGCTGTTACCTTCCCACCGAAGTGGTACCTATTTATCTACTTGCAATTTCTTGCTTTCGAACTGCTTCTGCCAAACAGTTCTGAATCCATATTACAAAATCATATAAATAAATAAATTGGGACAAAGAGTTTTTTAAATTTTATTTTTATTATTTTGTGACATCAGTGCCCCCTGACTTATTTAAAGCCACCCCCAAGTTACAAAAGCCTGGCTACGGGCCTGGTCATAAGGTGCTAATTCAGTTCATGTAGGCAGCAGTCCTAAAAGCACTTTCCTGGGAGTAAAAAAAGGTAAAGGTTCCCTTGCTCGAAAGCCAGTCGAATCCGACTCTAGGGTTGCGGTGCTCATCTCCATTTCCAAGCAGAAGAGCCAGCGCTGTACGAAGACGTTTCTGTGGTCATGTGGCCGGCATGACTAAACACCAAGGCGCACGGAACGCTGTTACCTTCCCACCGAAGTGGTACCTATTTATCTACTTGCAATTTCTTGCTTTCGAACTGCTAGGTTGGCAGGAGCTGGAACTAGGTAGTTAGGTCCCCTCCAGCCACTGGCAGGGGATGGGCGGGAAGAGTTGCCAGATCCAGACTGGGAAACTTGGAGATTCGGGGATGGATCCTGGAGAGGACAGGGATCTCAGCTGGGTACAGTGCCCTGGAGTCCACCCTCCAAAGCATCCCTTTTCTCCAGGGGAACTGCTCTTTGTAGTCTGCAGATGAGCTGTAATTCCAGGGGATCCCCAGGTCCCACCTGGAGGCTGGCATCCCTAGGTGGACACCATGCCATCATACCCCACTGGGGTCCCTCCTCAAATCCCACCTTCCTCAGGCTCCACACCCAAAATCTCCAGGTACTTCTCCGTCCAGAACTGGCAACTCTACTGGGGTGCCTGATAAAATATGGTTCTCAGCAATGTTCCCTCTAAGCCGTGGAGTCTTGTGAGCAAAAATTCTACTTTGTGATCTACTGGCACTAAAGTTGTGAGCGAGCGATTTGGCCGCTGCATAAATTAGTGTGCTCTGAAGCCCTCCTCCCTGAGCTGAGACAAAAATGTGTGAGCCGGAGGCTAAAAAACTGTGAGCTGGCTCACACTAACTCAGCTTAGAGGGAGCACTGGTTCTCAGTTTGATTTTTATACATATCTGAAGAAGTGACTTGTGATTCACAGAAGTTCCTATTGGGACAAATGTCGTTCGTCTTTAAGGTGCTGCTGGACTTTTGCAATGGGGAAAGAAATGTTTTCATACAAGAGAAAAGTCTCATCACATCCTGGGAGGTATTTCTGTGGTCATGGGCAGGAAGTGGAAGGGGGGTGGGGTGGGGACTGCTCTCAAGCAGCAGCCAGCTGCAAGCGTAGGTGTTTCCGGTTTTCTAATTTTTTTTTCATCGCAGCAGGGCATGTACATGATTGATCCAGGCTGTACCTACTTTTTGCCTTTAAACAGGGAAGGGAAGATTGTGTGAGTTTAGCAGGGCACAATCAGGCAGACAGTTTAAACATTTTTAAAATCCTCGCTAGCTTATCCCCCCCCAAAAGCAGCCATCATTTCTTTTTTTCCCCCAAAAAAACAATTAATTAGGATATAATTTAAAAAAAATTCAAACATACATCAAAACTTTTATAATTATATATCCTTCCCTCCTCCCTCCCCCCCCTTTTTTGGCTTCCCACAGTGCTCCAACCTCCAGCTCAATTCTTAAATTTTTCCATACCTCCCTTTCTCCTCATTCACAACCACAGGTAACTTATCTTTCAACAATTATTCTTATACATTTATCTATTTTCTACCATCTTTTAGTTTTCAATAGTTCTCAAAGCAAAGTAAATTGTCCTTTACATCCCAGTATTTCTCCAAATAGTCTTTAAAGTCTTTCCAGTCTACAAAAAATTCTTCCGCTTCCAAATTGTTAAGTTTCCTTGTCATTTTGTCCATTTCAACCATAAAAAGTAATTTTTTAATCCACTGCAGCCATCATTTCTTTATTTGTAGAAAAGAGCAAGAGACCTGGAGCACCTTAAAGACGTGGAAGAAGTAAGCAGTGACTCAGGGAAGCGCCTACCCCGTCACATATTTTGTTAAGTCTTTAAGGTGCTCCTGGACGCTTGCTCTTTTCTACTGCTCCGGACAGACTGACACGGCTACCCATCTTGATTTATTTATTTGGATATTCAGACTTCCAATGGGAACTCAAAACAGCTTCCATCATTATTTCCTGCTTCTCTTCTTCAAAGGTTTTATTCCCACAACAACAACCCTGCGAGGTTAGGCTGAGAGAGGTCATCTCGTGCACTTCCATGGCAGAGCGGGGATTTGAACCTGGGTCTCCCAGATCCTAGTCTGGCACTCTTAACCACAACATCCATCGGGGCTGTTCCACTCACTGCCCACATCAGAGTCAAGAGGGGAATGCTGCAAATGCCCTCCTGTCCAATGTTCCCTCTAAGCTGTGGAGTCTTGTGAGCGAAAATCCTACTTTGTGAGCTACGGGCATTAAAGTTGTGAGCGAGCCATTCGGTTGCTGCATAAATTAGTTTGCTTTGAGGCCATCCTTCCTGAGCTAGAGCAACAATCTGTGAGCTGGAGGCTAAAAAACTGTGAGCTAGCTCACACCAACTCAGCTTAGAGGGAACACTGCTCCTGTCCCAACCAATGTTCCCTCTAAGCTGTGGAGTCTTGTGAGCAAAAATTCTACTTTTGCGAGCTACCGGCATTAAAGTCGTGAGTGAAAAATCTGGCTACTGCATAAATTAGTTTGATCTGGACGCAGTGTTCCCTCTATAAGTTGAGTCAGTGTGAGCTAGCTCATAGTTTTTTAACCCCCAGCTCACGCATTTTTCTCTTAGCTCAGGAAGGGATGGCTCCAGAGTCCAGAGCAAACTAATTTATGCAGCAGCCAAATCGCTTGCTCACAACTTTAATGCCAGTAGCTCGCAAAGTAGAATTTTTGCTCACAAGATTCCACAGCTTAGAGGGAGCATTGCTCTAGAGCCATCCTTCCTAAGCTAAAAATGTGAGCCAGAGGCTAAAAAAATGTGAGCTAGCTCACATTAACTCAGCTCAGAGGGAACACTGGTCCCAACCCCAATGGGCATGGAACAGCAGATGGATAGAAATACATTTCACAACAAAATAGATAAAGAGAGACTCAATTATCTGGAGCTGTGGAAGGCAGCTTAGGTTTATCCAGTCCAGGAACCGATCGGGAGGAGAAGAGCAGTTAATCTGGAAAGTGTGTTTCCTCACAATCCTTACAATTCCTGACAATCACTTTTTGTAACTTTACAAGACACATTCAAGTATGGCGTGGTGGTTAGAGTGTCAAACCAGGGAGATCCAGGTTCGAATCCCTACTCTGCCAGGGAACCTTGCTGGGTGACCTTGGGCCAGTCACACTCTCTCACCCTAACCTACCTCACAGGGTTGTTGTGAGGGTAGACCAGAGAACAGTGTAAGCCATTCTGGGTCCCCGTTAAGGAGGATGGCAGGGTGTAAATGAAGCAAAAAGTTAAAAATGTAAAATCTGTGAACTGCATAATACAGACAGGAAACTGAGGCAGATGGAACCCAGTTTGGTCCCAAGCATCCCCAAAACAGAAAAGGAAAGACTGGAGCTCAGGGTGGTATCCTGCACTCAGTGTGCGGGGACTGCTCTGGCTCTTTTTAAACTCCATAAACAGTCGAATCTCTACCGATCCGTCTTGTGAAAGGTTTGTCCCTGCATAACACGGCTCCAGGAAGGACATGCGCAGAAAAGAGTAACGAGAGAGAGAGACGCGCGTGACCCAAACTTGTAATCTGCAAACCACTGCGC